TTATTCTGTTTTAAACATGAAATAAATATCTAAATTAATGTTTTAATTGATATATTTAATTTTTTGTTATTTTTTATAAATATTTAATATTTTATATACATAATTTATTAGACACACGGACATATATGAATTTTTATGTATATTTTATAAATTAATTTATATATTTTTATTTTACTTTTTTTTTATACATATATAATCTTTTTTAAGTTATATATTTTAACACTTTTTTTTTTATTTATACATTTATTTGAATATTTATTTAATATATAAATTAATGTATTTTTGTTTAGATATTTTATAATTTAGTTTACATTGTTTGTGAATATATATTGTGTGTAACATGTCTAAGAAGCTCATTACGGTTCAGTATTGGTTAACTTCAGATTTCCAGAGTAACCGGGTCGAGCGCTCGGGTTTATCTGGAGTATATTCAGCGTAATCTGCCGGAGGGCGTTGCTATGGAGGTCACCAAGGTAACGGCAGCACAACAAAGCAGCTGCTGCACAAACACAGAGCTTCATAAACATACTTCCTTCAGTATAACACACCGTGCTTGTCTCCTCTACAGACCTCTATTGAGAAGATCCCAGAACACATTCAGAAACCGCTGTGGGACGACTGCAAGCTGGAGCCGTCTGTTTAGAAGCGGCAGCACTAGATGTGTTTCTCAAATACAAAGAGCCAGAGCTGCGTGTTTCTGTTCCTGTCCACTGAAACCAGACTCTGTAAACCATGAGATCTGAATAAATCAGCTTTCCATTGATGTATGGTTTGTTAGGATAGGACAATATCTGAAAATCTGGAATCTGAGGGAGCAAAAAAATCTAAATATTGAGAAAATCATCTTTAAAGTTGTTCAAATGAAGTTCTTAGCCATGCATATTACTAATCAAAAATTAAGTTTTGATATATTTACGGTAGGAAATTTACTAAATATCTTCATGGAACATGATCTTTACTTAATATCCTAATGATTTTTGGCATAAAAGAAAAATTTATAATTTTGACCCATACAATGTATTGTTGGCTATTGCTACAAATATCCCCCAGCGACTTAACACTGCTTTTGTGCTGCAGGGACACATATGTTCGCATAACGTTGAGAGAAAACGTTCTTATGATGTTACTTGTACCAACGTTCTAAGAAACGTTTCTGCAACGTTTAAATAACATTCTAATAATGACAAGGAAACTGAACATTGTAACGTTCTTAGAATGTTAAAAAGAAACGTTCAAGTGACAATATATTTTGGGTGAAAATAGTAGAATTTTGTGAGTAACATTTCAATAAAACGAGATGTTTTAGACACGTTAAATCACGTTTTTATACCCTAAATTTGTTATGGGATAAAGTTTTTGCGCTCCAGCATGATTGTTCCAAAAACATATTCAGTAAAAAAAAGCACTTCAAATTCACATATCGTTACATAAAATACAAGTACAATTTACATCCACACGAACAAAACGTTTATTCAGCTTCTCCAGTTAAAAAATGAACTTTAAAAGACACTCTTAATATTAGACACCAGCACCAGCGAGAAATATTTACACCAGAACAGAAACATGAGAGTGGATGAACACAGAAAATATGAATCTGTACAGCAGCAGCAGCTGGGGTCTAACAGGGAACGTTAAAAAAACGTTAATGATGTCCTCAAAACGTTATTTACATAGTTCGTGGAGCATTGCTTCTGGAAGCTGATGGTTTAAAACGAAAACTTCTTCAAACTTTCTGCTCTGGAATCATGTTCTCATCATGATCCGGCAACTTTCCCTCAAAGTTATGAACAAAAAACTTCTGGTCTTTAATAATGTTCGCAAATGTTAGCACAAAAACATTATTTATAGAGTGTTTATGGAATGTTTTTTTGTTTGTTTGTTAGTTGGACCTTTGTCTAATGTTTTTTTTTTTTTAGTGTGTGAGTGAGAGTGTGTGTATGTATGTGAGAGTGGTGTTCAGTGAGTGTGTGTGTGTGAGGGAAAAAGAGTGTGTGTGTGAGAGAGAGTGATGTTCAGCGTGTGTGTGTGTGTGTGTGTGTGAGAGAGTGATGTTCAGCGTGTGTGTGTGTGAGAGTGATGTTCAGCGTGTGTGTGTGTGAGGGT